CTGCCAATAAGTGCTACCATACTGCCTGCCTCATGCCAAGGAAAGACATCAGTACTGCTGTTGGCTTCCTTGACACCACGATGACGCTTTCAGCGAAGAAGAGGTTAGCAGCTATTCCTCATGATGGCTTTTCCTTTCTTTTCTTTTGGGAAAGTGCGGTAACAGGTTGCACTCTAACAGCTGACAGGCTTGCTGCAGCAGGGCTCGTTGGCCAAGCCAATTGCCGCTTTTGTACTGCCCCCAAGGAATCCGTGAGTCATTTTGCTTACGAGTGTGACTCCTTGCCTGAGTCGGTCCGGCAACCTTCGACCAACTTCTTCTTTGGCCCTAACTTCTGCACTCTGGGCATTGTTGAGCTTCCTTTGGACACTATTCGCGATAAACTGCAAGTGTCCAGCATTTCGGAGGTTCCTGTTTGTCAATGGTCGGCAGTGCAGGAACGGGTTCAACATGTGTGGACGGATGGTTCCGTGCAATTGACAGCCTATCCTTGGCTGGCCATTGCATCCTTTGCCGTCATTGCAGCCGATGAGTCTATTATTTCAGTTGGTCGGGTTCGCCATTGGCGCCTTTCCAGTTATACAGCTGAGCTTTGGGCCATTGTGGTCGCCTTTGCCAGAGCAGAACAGCCGTTGGTGATCCACACGGATTCCCTTACCATCGTCAAGCAGTTCCTTGTGTTGCTTCAAACTGAAACGGTTCAAGTGGAATGGACCCACGCCAATTGGTGGAGCTTCATTTTGGATCAGCTACTTCACCGCAAAGAGCTCCACCCTTCTCCATTGCAATTGCTTTGGTGCCCTGCACATTTGTTGGAACACGTTCCTAGCCAGGCACTCACGGACGAGTTGGCAAACAAAGCTGGGTCTACTCGTCAGGACATCATTCTTAATAGGCTGGCTGACAACTGCGCCAAGCAGCATATTGCCCAACTTGCTTCCGAGACTCGTAGCGGGCTGCATCTTATGGAGCATGATGTTTTTGCCAGACAGCTATGGTTGAGCCAGCTAAATAGGATGTGCAAAAAGCCTGCCAACTCCGGTACACCGAAAGGCCAAGTTTCCCCTGAGCCTGTCATCCAGTACTCTGCTAGACAGATGTGTCCCAAGTGGCCATGGGACATCTCGCCGGCTTTGTTTACATGGCAGGTCGAAATTGACCTTAATGTACCCTTTCGAGCCACGTCCACCTTGACTGAGAACAACTTCCGCACCTTTTTACGCTTTTGCGCCTCCTTGCAGTGGCGTGTCGGGGATGGATTTGCTTGCTCAGTCTTCGAGTTGGCCGTTGTGGCATTTGTACGAGGTTGGAGATTTGAACTGCCTCATGGAACCATCTGCACACCTCAAGCCTTTGCTAGCTTGATTCGTTCGGGTTTTGCCTTTTGTAAGCAGAAGAAGTTTGTTGTCGCGCCTCTGTTGCTTGACAAGCGCAACAAGAGTAATGGCAAAACCTTTCCGAAGGGTGCTTTCCTCGGGGCTGAAGCTTATGTGGAGAATGCTGCATTGGATATGCTTGCACGTGCGTTTGCCAAAGGTGCCAAAGCAACACCTTGGTCTTGGTGCATCCCCTTTGACAATCTTTTGTAGTCTTGGCTACGAGTGACCCTAGCTGCGGAATGCGCTGGGGTTGCCACCGACTCGGAGTCGCGGCTTGAGAGCAAAAAAAAAAAAAGGAAGCTCCCCCCGCCGCCTTTAGAGCTATCCTGCGTCCAGTATGTAGTAGCTTAAGTGAGGTACTAGCCACCGTTTACGTTTGGCTTCTACTAGCTACCTAGCTACTATCTCTTCGAGCGGCCTACCCCCCCGTGGTCCAAAAAATGGAGACCCCGCCTGCTTCTGGTCAATTCTTTTTCCATTTGCGTTTGCTTACTAGGAGCGATCGGACGCTACTAGGGGCTCCTGGCCTCACTACTAGGAACAAGGTTCGCTACTAGTAACTACTGCTTCTTGTCCAAATCACCTCCTACATCTCACGAATCTACCAAGTGGCCATGACGGCCCTGGGGGTCTTAAAAAGGTCCTGCAAGGAGGGCGCAGCTTCGAAGATGGCGCTATAGATGGCTTCTCCTCCACCAAGAATGCGCAGCATGCACTCAGCAGAAGGACATGAGAGCTGCTAAAGCTGCTAAAGTAAAAAGGTTGATTTTGACTCGGAGTCCCATCGGACGCTCATTCTCACCTGTCCTGCTGCATCACGGCTACTTGCCAGGCTAATGAAAGTGAACCAAACCTGGAAAAGAATGGAATAACACTTGAAAGCAACAGGTGTCAAAGCTACATTGCTTTCAAGAGAAAGGAAGGACACGTACAAAAATGTAAGTGAGACTGAAAGCTGACTTTCGGACATATGCATTGTTTTTTTAAAGGTAGAAATTATAGGTCGGTCAGTGTTCTAGTGTCCTTCCCAAATGACCAAGACCAGACTTCAAGGCACGTGAAACAGTGATTTTGGCGAAGCACGAAAGGATAAAAGTGGAGAAAGGACGTGAACAAGATTGATGGCCATCTCCGGTAGGTTGGAGGCCATCGCTATTAGGGTGGAGGCCATCGTTAGTAGTAACAGTAAAGCTTTCTAGTATGTCTTTGAAGCTTTCTAGTGAGTAGAAGCTACTAGGATCAAAGGGCGTCGCTACTAGGAGCATTCTTGCTTTCTAGTAACTAGAAGCTACTAGGTTGGAGGCTATTGCTTCTAGGATTGATGGCCTCCTGTGTTTCAGCAATCACCTCTGGAGACAGTCTGAGCTCGTCGAAGCAGTTCTCCTCAGAGTCCGTGTGGCAAAGAAATTGATTTAGCACAAAAATGCTCCTGGTAGCGATGCCAGGAGCCCCTAGTAGCGTCCTTGCTCCTAGTAGCGATGCCCTTTGCTCCTAGTAGCGTCCTCTACTAAGTCATCGTTCAAAAACAATATACAGAATAAGCCAACCTAGAACCAATGGCCTCCAACCTAATAGCAATGGCCTCCAACCGAACAAGGGCACCTGCTACATGTTCTGCAGTACAACAAAGCACGCAAAAGAAAGGGAAATGCTTCTCTTGTGAGTCAAGAGCTTTCCTATTGGGTTGGAGGCTATTAGTTAAGTTTCCCTAAAAATCTAGGAACCAAATCATTAGTGCGAGCGCTTCTTCAAACAGGGCGGCGGGGGGGAGTTTCCTTGAAGAAGCGTCTTCGCTATCCTGCGTCCTGTCGGTACCTACCTACCTCCCCGAACAAGTGCCACGCTACTAGTAACAAGTGCCTTACTAGTAACACGTTACGAATTTAATTAGAATTGTAATTGCAAAGGAATCTACCTCCTAGCGGCCTACCCCCCTGCGGCAAAATCTGAGCTAAGTGACGTCGATTTCAAAGACGTGGATCCTCGGCAACGACTTTTACTTTTCGTCGTGTGGCCTCGTATTGACCTGTGTGGCCTGTTTGAACTCTGACCTTCAGACCTTTCTTCGTCACATGTCTAGAGTCAGTCTCCAATTCACATCCTTAGAAAACACATGTGAACACAAAAAGCTGGCAAGGCTGGCAAGGCTGCCGCTCGTGTCCCTTGCATACGTAGCAATGCTTTCGGAGATCGACTTGCCGCAGTGCTTTTGTGTTACGAGCGAAGGCCCTGTGGGAGTTGAAAGGGCAAGTCTCAAGTTTGTCTAAGAAGGCCTTGGGCAAGTGTTGGCGGAGTAAAAGCGTACCTCCTGACTCTGGCCTAGCTCCAAACAGAAACTGATTTGGTCGGTGTTGACCACACCTGAGAATATTCATAGGGAGAGTTAGATTGATACATGGAGGGGTAGATGAGACACAGAACAAGAAACCATTCTTTGGGGATGTTCGAATGACAAAAGGATAGCAGGAAGAAGCAGAAAAGGCCTAAGGCCTAAAGGTTTTAAGAACAAACAATAACGCCACACACACAAGGAAAGAGGGATCACAACACACAGAAACAGTTTCTTTTTACAGAGAAACAAAACACATGGAGAAAAAGATAGAAGCATACCTGGAGTGATGCATCAAGGGACTGATAGATAGATCAATGTGGAAGGATGGAAGCACAAATGAACTGAGCGTTGAGCAGGCCCAGCCGTTGCTGAGCTTGCTAAGCTCCACTACATCTTATTTGCAAATAAACAAGCAGTTATTTGATATTATTTGCAACAAAAAAGTTCGTTTCGTTATTGTGAGTTCAGCATTCTAACTCTTTTGCAACATTGGTCTCATGTTTGTCTCATAGTGCACTTGAGTGCACTCCAAACACAATGCTCTGTCAGCCCAGATGCACTTCACCCTCCTGGACTTCCTCTGAAGCGTCATTCTCAAACGATTCTTCATCATAGAGGTCGGTTATCTCCTCATACGAGGCGAAAAAACCGTTTCATGTTCTTCTTTGTTTCTAATAGCGATGGCCTCCAACCTAGAGGTCTGTTATCTACTCATGTTGCCAAATGTGAAAAGCTATGACAGGGTGAATGCATCTGGCCTCGTGATCAGAGTCGGAGTTGGCCATGGCGGAACCTGAATGCAGTGCCAGCTGCGCATGCAAGTAAACTGCTACTAGTAACAAAGGGCATCGCTACTAGGAACAAGAAGCTACTAGGGGCTAGCCGTACTACTAGGAGCAAGAACGCTACTTGGAAAGATCTATAGACAAATCGTCCCTGCCTGTTATCCCAATCCAGGGCTGCTGCTACCCCCCTTTGAACCATAGCGCAGTGCGAATCAGTGCAGCAAAGCGCCGTGAGAACGAGCACCTTGATGCTAACAATAAGCTAACGATTCTAGTAACAAGTGCCTTACTAGTAGTAACAAGAAGCTACTGGGAACACCTTGATGTTTACTAGTAGCGAACATAGCTCCGTTCGTAGTACGGCCAGGAGCCCCGTTCGTAGCGTCCGATCACTCCTAGTAGCGATGCCCTTTGTTCCTAGTAGCTTCTTGTTACTACTAGTAAGGCACTTGTTACTAGAAGCGATGCACTTGTTCCTAGTAGCTTCTTGTTACTAGCAATGGCCTCCAATCTACTAGCAATGGCCTCCAACCTGCCACTGAGAGATCCTCTGATTTGTTCCGGTCAGGACTCGATGGCACCAAAATGTGCCAACCCGCTGAATTTTAGCGGGACTCTAATTCGAAACGAATTCTCTCAAACGAATTCTGATATAAAAATTGATATTCTCTCTAGTAGATGCTATTGCAAGACTTTGATTTTTCATTGGCTCCAAAAGCACACGACTAGTCGCTCTCTACGGCGTCTTCTACGTCTCTATGGGCGTCTCTACGGGCGCACACGAGTCACGAAGAGAGGGATGGCCCTGGCTGCGGCCGTGGCCCCGCTCACCTGTGGAGCCGAAGCAACTCTTTTGCTACTAGGAACAAAGGGCATCGCTACTATTAGCAAGGATACTACTAGGGGCTCCTGGCCTTACTACTAGGAACAAGAAGCTACTAGGAACAAAGGGCATTACTACTAGCATTCTTACTACTAGTAACAAGAAGCTACTAATAGCGATGGCCTCCAACCTAGTAGTTTCTTGTCACTAGTAGCAATGGTCTCCAATAGCGCCCTTTAAAACATTTCCCTTTTACCAAAAGAAGCAGAGAGAACAAAATAGAAAGGGGACGAGAAGGACAACGAATTCAATACGTTCATGTCCGAAATCGAATTGTTTCGATGGAATTCTTCGGAGCTTTTTTCCCACCCACCGGCAGAAGCTGGATTGAACCCTTGCTCTAGTGTGTCGAAATGCACGTAGGACCCACTGTAGTGCTTTCATGTCTTTCTTTCTTTCTTTCTTTCTGTCGGACCTTAAGACCATATTCATTTTTTGTCTTTCTTTTATGTATCTTTTTTCTCTTTCTAGGAGCAAGAAGCTACTAGGGGCTCCTGGCCTTACTATAGGAGCAAGGACGCTAGTCTTTCTCTTTGACTATAGACTCTTTTGCCTTTGGTCCGACCTGATACTCTAGTCAATTCTTGGCTTGCTGCCTGCAAATCCGTGTACTTTTCGTGCCAAACCGCCAAAAGGAAGTCAGTGTCAAGAGTCAGAACCTCAATCCAGGTGTCCTATGTGATCTTCCAAAATCAATGTAAAGAATTGTAAAAGAGATGGGCTCCAACCTAAGAGCGATGGCAACTAACCTAATAACATGGACTGGGCAAGTCGTCCTCTGTTTCAAGCTTGCGACCTTCTCTGGTGGAGAAATCGGCAACGCTCCCAGAGGAGTGCCACGAGATGTGAACCTGCGAGATCGACACAGTAACAAAGGGCATCGCTACTAGGAGCAAGGACGCTACTAGGGGCGCTCCTGGCCTTACTACTAGGAACAATGTTTGCTAGTAGAAACAATAAATACATAGAATTAGATCGACAACCAAAAAACACTGTCTGTTGCGTACAAAGACATAGAGACTTTTGTTGCCCTCCTACTTAGTAAGGGAGAAGTAAGCTACTAGGAGAAGTTGCTCCTAGCTAGGAAGCTACTACGCGGACGCAGGATAGCTCACTAATCGCTTGGTTCCTAGATTTTTTGGGAAACAAATAGAAGACAATTCAGTCGCGTTGTTTTGCGAGCACATTCTCGCCTCAATCCAAAAAGCTCTCGGGAAAAGGCAAAGTCAAACTCCTTGGATGGCTTATCCGACCAACTCGGAGGCGTTTTGTCATATCAAAGTAGAAACAAGAAGCTACTAGGAACAAGTGCATCGCTACTAGTAACAAGTGC